TTCTACTGCTACCACCAGAATAAATATATCACTTCACCTCTAAAACTAATTTCTCCCGACTCCATTTCTAGCCTCTCACTAGAGACCATCTAGTCCCACATTTTCAGTTATTCACAGGACATTTAAAAACACATTTCCTGTCATATCCTCACAGTTTACATGTCCAAAGTTGAGCCTCTTGGTTTACTCACCCCAGTTTAGCTATTGCCACCCACCTGCTGACTTATCTGACTGCTGGACCACAACCTAAGCCCTGTAAGTTCGCCTGTCTGGTTGGAGACAATTGTGTGCACTAGGGCCAACTCAGGCTTGTACCCATTCCTCCTGGTAGTACTCTTGTTCACTGGGTTGAGAGGCTCAACCTCCTTATTCCAATCCTTAGTATTTATGCTTTCTCTAACCTGTAGGAAGCTTGGAATAGATAATTATAGATAATAAATACTAGCAGCTGTAAGGTGCTGAGGAACTACCTTGAGAAGCTCTGGAAACAGCACAACTTTGATTCCCCTCTCCCACCTACCACGGAAGAGCCAAGCATGATTTTTCCCACTCCAGAATATAACTTCTGCTTCGTCTCCTACACAACGATGTCGTCCTCCAAAACAAGGATATTGTGGTCTTGTGCTTTCTTTTTTCTTTCTATTCTCTTTCACGAGTGACCTTTGTTCATGTACTAGTAACTAATTTACTAGTCAATAAGAAGAATGTACAACAGATCCAGTCCTGATTTCTAGAGTTTTGTGGCTAGACCTCAGTTCTATTTTCCTGTCTGGAAAGGAAAGGAGTAGGTAGTATAGTCCACAAATCAAATGAGCCTACTATTGGCTTATCAAGCACACACAGGATCTAGTTTGTCATAAATTCCTACCTATGAGGGCCCACAAGGGATCCTGGCCCCCCTTTCTTTAATCCTTTCAGCAACCGCTCCGATTTGTCTTCTTGGAGCCTTTAGGGAATTCACGTGCCCTACCTTGAGATTGGTAGAGAAATACTTTTCCCTTCGACCTGTCTTTATTCCCCCAACCCCAACTACCCCCACGGCTCTTTCTCTTTTATACCCTTTTGCTTCCTGCTCTTGGAGTTTCTCTTTTTCTGGTGAGGTTTACTAGTTCCTCTGTCCTAATTCTTTTCCATTTTGTTATCTTATGGGGTGTTGGAGCCTAGAGGTCTGGCAGGGAGAGAAGGGGAATGAAAAAGAGGAGGCCATTGCAGTAGTTTGACTTCAAGGTAGGATATCTGGGGGGAAACCTTCCACACTTTCCAAATTAACAATTCTAATGACATTTCCTATTTGCTGTTTGGCTGAAAAAAGAGCATCTCCTCTTGTCATCCAGCCAGATGACTCCAGGAGGAGGAATGAAGTAGAAAAAAAACAGAACAAAACTTTGTCCCATTGTTGAAGGTGGCACTCAAAGCAGCTAAAGCCTAAGTTTATACACACACATATAACCTTTATCTGTGACATTTACCAAATTAATTGAGGCATATCTTACAAAAAGGGCTTTGCCTATAGCACTCTTCCTGGAAAGCATTCCGCAAGCAAGCAAGCAAAACAAACAAAAACAGTGTAACAAGGAGTATGTATTAGCCTCAGTGTCAATTTCTAGTAGCAAATTTCTAGTAGTGTTCTGAAACTTGACAGCTTTTCAGCAACTGTAGAATCAATGGCACTGAGAATGATCACCCAGGAGGTTCAGAAGAGCAGAGAGAACAGGAAAATTGGTATAACTTGAGTGGAAATATTTTATAGTCTTTCATGTGTCTGTGTTATGTGCTTAGTTAAATTCCCAAACTAGCCCACTTGCATCCATCTTGGTGTAAAAATATACTATATAGTTATCAGTTCAGCATCTCTCCTCCTAAATCTAATTCTGAAAATCCGCAGGAATTCAAACCATGGTAATAAAAACTAGGACGTAAGAACGGACCATATGGTATTTTAATAGGCCCCCTGTCTGATCTAACTCCAGAAACAGAAAAATTGGTCATTTGAATAATACATGCTGGCATTTGTGGCCCAGCAAATAAGCAGGCAGTGGCTATCTATTCCATTTGTCATCCTGTGTGAGAAGAAGCTTAAATTCCTATGCATTGAGTTGTTATGATAATTTAATGATCTTTTTACTGTAGAAAGTATCAATTTAATTAGATTCTACATTTTTAATAATTCTTTTGGTTATGAACCCCCAACTAACAAATATCTCTTGACCCCAACTTTTTCCTCTTCTTGCAGACTCAGTTATCCTAATTTTGAAACCTAATTATGTATTTGGATGACCTGTTGGAACAAATTTCTATTCTCTATTATCTCTTTTATCTCTCTCTCTGTGTCATCGTACCTTTATTTTAGGCTCTCCTTTCCTCATCCATTTTTTTAAATGACTTAAGTTATAAGTCCTTGAGTGAACTCCTACAGATAAGACACACATCTTAATTATGAGAAAACACTATATGAAATAAAGGAACTAAGTAATGATAATAAACACTCTCATTCTTTTTTATTTTCTCTTGTTGCCCATCACATAAGAAAAGTTCCTTCTCCATTTCCTTATTTCTCTTTATTATTTACCCTGTGGAACAAAACAGACCATGATCACTGCTGGGAATAGACACACATCTTAATTATGAGAAAACACTATATGAAATAAAGGAACTAAGTAATGATAATAAACACTCTCATTCTTTTTTATTTTCTCTTGTTGCCCATCACATAAGAAAAGTTCCTTCTCCATTTCCTTATTTCTCTTTATTATTTACCCTGTGGAACAAAACAGACCATGATCACTGCTGGGAAATGCAAAGCAGTATTGGGTATACATGTATGAGAAAGAAAAGGGAAGCCATAGTTTTAAGGAGTAATATTACACCTAATTTTCAGTAACATAAATTTGTACAATCTTGAAAGAACCTGGAAGTCAATTTTTGGAAGCCTTGTAACTGTAGGACTTTTGGAAATATTGGAAAGTTAGCTTGGCATTCAACTGGGGAGAATCTTAAGTACCTGGTAAAGAGTTTGGACTTTTTCCTAGTAGCAAAGGGGATTCACTAAAGTTGTTTTGAGCATGAGAGAGATAAAGAAAGCAGTATGTTAGTAAGGTTAATTTGGCTTAATAAATACGCTTAATGGATTTGAGCAGGGAAAGATAAAGATGTGTGTAGATCAGTTAAGAAGCAACTCTTAAGAGTTCCAGCTTTAAGGGAAAGGGCCTGAATTAAGGCACCTATAGTGGGCATGGGAAGGAAGATTGATGGAAGACATTGCATGTATTTGCTGACCAAACTAGAAGTGGGAATTGTGAGAAGGGGGAACCTAAAGTAACTCTTAGTTTCTAGAGTACAGTTGCCTGGGATAATGACAGTGGCATTGGCATTAGCAGTCAAGATGATGATGGTTTTAGTTTTAAATATTCTAGTTGCAGGTTGTAATAAGACACCCAAGTATAAATGTGTAGGATATGGTTGGGAATTCAGGACTAGAACTTAGTAATTGCATCTCAATATATAAGTGTGAGAGCTAACCAATAGGGGTTGGAATTATAATTCAATTTAAGTCAGTTAAATAAATTCTTTAAAAACACTGGTATGACTTCTGTAAGAGCATATGATATCTCTGAGCAAATGTATGTAGTAAGAGAAGAGTAGATTGTTGAGAACGTAACTTTGGGACCTCAGATAATTCACAATTAGAAGATAGAAACAGAGAGACAGTAAGAAAAGAGTGAGAAATAGGAAAGAGAAGTCAGTGAAAAAAGAGGACAACCAATATAATTAGACTAATAAGGGCTAGGGAAAGAGAAAATTTTAAGAAGAAAGTTAAAGAGAATGAAGACTGAGTAGATGCTGAGGTATCTGACCCATAGCAAGTAGTTACTGATCTTTATGTGATCAGTTAAGCAGTGAGCAAATAATGAAAATTATTTTCTGTAGTTCAAGTAAAAAAATATTTATTGACTATTGCAGATGTTTTTCCCTTATCTTTCTCAAACTGAGTAATTGTTCACAAAGGTCAGATCTATTAAATGTGGTTTCTTTGATTGATAAGGGAGTTAAAATTTGGGACAAGGTTGATTCATAAGAATGAACTAAATAGGAACTATCATTTCCTCTGACCTGAAATTTTGGTCTGTAGTGTAATATTGAGAAATGGTAATAATTTCAAGGAGTTACTTTGCTGTTTTGAGAGATATTGTTCAACAAGGGTTCAAATATTACTCTAGCTTTGCCTGGGTCAGATCATATTCTACCAACAGAATATACTGTTTAAAGATTATTGTTTGGTTGAGGGGTAGGCTTAAAGTCTGGATCCTATAAAAAAATTTTCTGAAGGGTCCCCACCAGTAAGATGGCAAACTTCCGGCTTCTCTTCGGGGGTCCTCAGTTCCCGCCGGCGCCACCTGAAGCCCAATCACCTCTCGCCCCCCTCCCAATCCCAGCACCTAGCCAACAGCCACCAGCCCCGTAGAAGTGACACCTCAATCAATTCATGCCCCTTCCTATATAACCCAGCACCTTTCCCTAATAAAGCGGAACTCTCCGGTGAATTGCTGCTATGTGTCGCTCCTTTCCTTTCCTTTTCTGCTTTTGGGACTGAAATCTGAAATGTTGCTAGGTTTAGGGAGATTTTATTTAGCTGAAGCTCCATTGCTACTTAAAATAGCCCAGTAGTAGCTGGAAAGAAAGTAGACTTTTAGTATCTGACCCTTTGCGTGGAGCATAGTTTGTTTTCAGAAGGTATTGGCTTATAAAATATTCATCAGTTTCACCTCTAAGTTTTAGCTATTTGTGGCTCAGTGGCAGCAAGTGTGATCTTTTCACTTCTCCAAATGTCGCTGAACTCTGCTGTTTTCATGCCCTAGGGCTCTGGCCTGAATGGAATCAGCGCTAGAAGATGCTAACAGGGCGGAAGTGGAATGTTTGGGTAATGGAGAAGGAAAGCTCTCTGGAGATAGCTTTTTTCCTCTTCTATCTAAGAAGATTTAATTATTGGAATTTTATTACAGAAGCTGAAAAGACAATCCACCAAGTACAAGGCAGACAAAACCTATCCTGCAACTGTGGCTGAGAGGCCCAAGAATATCAAGAAAAATAGATATAAGGATATCTTGCCCTGTAAGTTTCATTTCTCCCTATAAACTTGTACTTCCCCCAAATTCAATCATTCCTATTTGTTTTTACTCATTTCTTGCTGTTCCTAATCCTGGAACATGGCTTTGACAAATTAGTTTGTACTGTTTATGACTACAAAAGAATATTTATTCATTCACTCATTCATCACTTAGGAACATCTGCTCTTTCCAGTATTAGTCGCTGACTTGCAGGAACCTTCTGACTAAGGCCTCTTAATTATACTATGTCTCTCTTTTGTGTTATAGATGATCATAGCCGAGTAGAGCTGTCCCTGATAACCTCGGACGAGGAGTCCAATTACATCAATGCCAACTTCATTAAGGTACATTCTGAATCCTGTATTTGTCTAGGCACCTAAAAAGCAGGGGGTGGCAATCCTAGACAATATTTCTCTAGGTACCTAAGAAAAGTTGGGGGGGATACTAGACAAGAAGAAGAGGGTATTATTTGTAGCCACCCCGTGTTAAGTTCCATTGCTCCGTAGGGAGTTTATGGACCCAAGGCTTATATTGCCACCCAAGGACCTCTGCCTATGACTCTCCTGGACTTCTGGAGGATGATTTGGGAATACAGTGTCCTGGTAAGTGCACAGTTGCTTTTGCTATTCTATTCTCTAGTTTTTACGGAAGGAGAGGGTAGAGTGTCGGGATATTTGATTGATGTTTTCTATGTACTAAAATCAGTGCTTTTTTTTTGGTCAGTTGCTAGAATTTCATTATTCAGGCACCTTTTAGTCAAAAATCACAATATCACTCTTGTTCAAGGAAATGAAAGTTCTCATCTTGACAGGTTCATTTGTTAACAAGAACTTATTGATTTGAATAGAGAAAAGGGAAGTGAGGGCAGAAAGAAGGGTGGGAGCAATATTTTATAATTTCTCGGGATTTCTTTTTTGGTTAACAAACACAACCAAATAGAAAAAAGAATAATTAACACTTTCTGACCCTGGAACTCCTGTATTAACTGCTTATTTCTAACTATATCAATCTTTAAATTTCTGTCTTTCATCCCCCCAGATCATTGTTATGGCATGCATGGAGTTTGAAATGGGGAAGGTGAGTCACTCTCTAGTATACCTAAAGGTAAAGGAAAGAAGAAAAAGTAGGGGGGATATTGGTAGAGGAACTCTCCTTACATGTACCTCAGTAAAAATTACGCTCGTCTTCCTAGTTTTCAGTTTGAGAATGCCAAATGACTCCCTAAACTTTTTTATTCCTGAGAACCCCTTTTGTCCATTTTCCCAGTCGACTATGTCTTATAGTAAAGATAAGGTATGCTTTTTCAAGTAACAAGTCATTTTCCCATTTTTATTAGTCAGACATCTTTAACTGTCAGTCAGAGCTTCTAACCTATGCTGTCCAACATGACATCCATACTAGCCACATGTGAGTACTGAGCACTTGAAATATGGCTAGTGTAACTGAGAAACTCAAGTGTTTTGCTTTATTTTAATGAATTTAAACTGAAAAACTGAGAGCCAATCAGTTACTGGAAAACTATGTTTGGAACAACGTAGGTATATGAATTTATTTCAACTATAAATTTAACAAAAATAAAATATTTCCAATGAAAATGTAGTATATCAATTGATATGTGCTATAAATATAAAATACATGCTGGATTTTGAAGACTTGAAAAATATCAAATATTTAATATGTATTTTATCTTTTTTGGATGTTTTTTGATATATGGGCTAAGCAAGGTATATCATTAAAATTCTTTCTTTTTCATTTTTGAATGTGGCTACTAGAAAACTTAAAATCATATATGTAGCTCCAATTATATTTCTATTGAACACTGCTCTTCTAACCCACTGTTGCCATTCTGAGTTGATACAATTCCAGTTAAAATCAAGGGAAATTTGTGTTTCAGTTAGCGTGTGCTGCTTTGTTTTAGTAGGCATGTGATTTCTGTTAATCTTTTGAAATACCGTAGTCACCCATTATTCCCTGGAGATATGTTCCAAGACCCTCAGTGGATGCCTGAAACCACAGATAGTACTGAACCCTATATATACTACTTTTTCCTATACATACATACCTATGATAAAGATTAATTTATAAATTAGGCACAGTAAGAGATCAACAGTACCCAACAGCAATAGAACAAATATAGCAATATTCTGTAATAAAAGTATGTGAATGTGGTCTCACTCAAAATATTGCACTGTGCTCATCTTTCTTCTTGAGTTGATGTGAAATGATAAAATGCCTACATGATGGGATGAAGGGAGGTGAGTAGTGGAGGCACTGTGATGTAGTGTCAGGCTACTACTGATGTTCTGATTAGAAGGAGGATCACCTGCTTCTGGACGGGGATTGACTGCGGGTAACTGAAACCATGGAAAACAAAACTGTGGAAAATGAAACCATGGGTACAGTGAGGAATACTGTAGTGAAAATGTCAGATTCCTATTTTCACTTTTTCAGACTTCTAGAAAGTCTGTGATTTATCTATCCTTTAATGTTTGTTTTCCCATCCTTGGAAATTCCAGACCATGATTTTGGGGCCAAAGCCCAAGGGGGTTAGAAGTTCTTAACCTAAGGTGAAAGAGGAAGCCGACTTTGCTTCCAAATGAGGGAGCGGGTGTTGTTGCCCAGAAACAATTAGACTGTATGGAGGGAAATCACTGCATTCTGCTTTGTTCAACAGAAAAAGTGTGAGCGCTACTGGGCTGAGCCAGGAGAGGTACAACTGCAGCTTGGCCCTTTCTCCGTCTCCTGTGTAAGTATGGTGCCTGTTGCCATTATGGCTGAGCAAATGCTCCAGGATCTACTTTACAGAGAGTAGTCTTTGAATGTCAGTCTTTGAAATAGCTAATATTTTAATTTACTTCTTAGGAAGCTGAAAACAGAAAATCTGATTACATAATCAGGACTCTAAAAGCCAAGTTCAATGGCGTAAGTATAGAACAGGAGTGGTAAACTCAAAAGTCTACAGAGATCAGGCAGGTAAATGTATCTGCATGTGACTCAGATTGGGTATAAGTCAGTGGAGGGTGGAGGGGCCTTTGAAGTTCTCAGCAAAAACTCATATTCAAAAGAGCACTTTGGTGTAATCTGTGCTCCCCAATCTATTCCGCAGCATAGCATACACATAAAATAATGATGTCTGTAGGGTGAATAGAGGCTGGGAGCCAACTTGGGAGCTCAGGCTCCCAAATTTCTTGAAAGCAAAGGGATGTGATATATCAGCATGCCTGTGACCCCTTTGAAGCACACCAGTTGGGAAGCTCTGGTTTGGACCATCTTCATATCTACCTCCTCTTGTGAGTGGGGCAGATAGGGACAGTCCCACAGTAAGAGACTTGAAATCACTTTTAATTGTTCTCAAAAGGCACATGGTCACCAGAGATCTACAGAGAAGAAAACTGCACAAATTGCAAATAGGATATAAATGCTGCTTAGTAGGTCAGAGTAATTTTGTGGTAGAATGAGGTGGAATCCTAGTCTTTTATTCTGAAACTCTTTTATTCTTGCTATTTTTATAGGAAACTCGAACTATCTACCAGTTTCATTACAAGAATTGGCCAGACCATGATGTGCCCTCATCTATAGAGCCTATTCTTGAGCTCATCGGGGACGTGCGTTGCTACCAAGAGGATGACAGTGTTCCCATATGCATTCACTGCAGGTGTGATACTGTCTTGCCAGTGGGTTTCAGTCCAGACAAGTTCACTATGGATTCAATGTGACCAAAGAAATGACAGTAGAATGTTCTTGGGGTGAAAGGGTTATACCCAACTTTATGTCCAGAGTGGCAGGTCAATCACTAGAATCCTATTCACTCAGAGTGAGTCTGCATGCAGCAAGCCGGTCTCTGCCTCTGGGCCTCTCTGCCCACACAGCCATCCTCTGGGCCTCTCTTCTCAGAGCTGCCATCAGTCCATCTGCTCTGCTCTCCTGAAGCCTTGCAGCTGTGCCACTGTGTCGCCCAGAGCACTGGGCAGGGCTCTTTATATAGAGTCAAATACAATGTATTGCCCACATGTGTATAGTGAGCTAACCAACCAGGGCCAGGTGAGACTCCTGGCCACAGGAACCTTCATTTTGTCCACAGATACCCAGAACAAAGCAAATGTCACAGTCCAGGCAGGACTGTGCTCTAACTGAAGGAAGACTGACTTTGTTGGAATTTAAG